CAGGTCCTCGCTGGTGAGGCTCTACAGCAGATGCCGGTCAGCTGTGACTATCCCTCTCGGGCAGCCTGGCTGCTGGCTGCACACTCTCCTGGGTGCTTCATGGCACTTGGTCTCCTCCAGGTGAGGTAGGTGCTCGGACCTCTGGGTCCTGTGCAGTGTGGCATGTGTTGGGGAGGCCCAGCCACTGTCTACCTTGCTGAGGATAGGCCTGTGCCTTTTATCTCTTCCTTGTCGGCAGAAAGGTGCTTGTGCTTGGGAGGTTCCAGAGTGGGCATGGAGCCCTGCAGACCATCCCTGCCACTGGGAAAGAGGGGCAGAGGCCCCCATGTCCGGGAACACCTGGCTGTGGCAGCAGCTTCGCTGGGGAGAGAGAGTCTGTTCTCCTGCCCCACAAGCTGCAGGGTATGGCAGTTTGAGTCTTTGGTGCCCTTGTGCTTGGACTCCATGTAAACTGAACACAGCTCATCCTTCTGTAGGGACTTAATTAACCCACTGATTTTGTCATTTCAATTACAGTCGGTCAGTTTAACTTGGCCCCCTCCTGACCCCCCAGGACTTTGAAATTACTCTTTTCAGAAGATATGTGATCACGTCTTTAGCCCTGGTGGGCAGCGCTGGCATTGCTTCTGAGCCAGCCTTGTTCATGCTCTCTGCAGGGAGGCCAGGATGGCCCGGAGGCCAGGCCTCGTTTGAAGGCAGCAGCTCCTGCCCCCTGCAGTCCTTGCTCTGGAAAGCACTTTAAACTCCCTGGCCCACTCCCCACTGCTGGAAGAGCCTCTGAGGAGGGACTGCGTGTGGTTAGCTGGGTTTTGATTTCAGTACTGGAGTTGATAAAACGAGATAAACCCCAGGCTCACTAAGGCCGTGGAAATTAAACAGAGATGGTATCAAAGTTCCCCCGAGTTTTCAGCTGTGCTACAGTAGCTTCGCCTTCTCCTGGCTGGGGCCCGAGGCAGCCTTTGATTCTGAAACAATGAGCAGCATCAGTTAAGCCCAGAACTGCTGACTTTTAGGATTAAGTGCGTGGTTGTGGTAATTCTTTGATCAGCTACGAGGGAGCAGTGTGGTGTCTGCCTGCCACAGTGTGAAGGGGCGTCATAGTGAAGGTTCTTGTCTCTGTGAGCCTGGGATGACAGTGTTGAGGCGCTGACAGACATCCTCCTGGCCAGTCCTCCATCAGAAATTCATCTATCATGGTGTTGGGGTGGAGACTCCCTCCCTCGGAAGACCAAACGCAGCGCACACACACTCTTGCCTTACTCTCTTGTCTTGAGGGATCTCTCAGATAGCTAGAGCAGGGCAGCCCTCAGCCTGGGAATGACCTGGAAGAGGCCACATGCCCTCTCTGGAAAGGTCATTGGGGCCTGACATCTGAAGGCCCGGAAGGTTTCGTTAGGAGAACAGCCCAAGGTCATTGTCACCATGGCCAAGAGCAGACGCCCTTTTTGGCTGGCTTGTGTTGATAACCCACTGTATTTCAGATTGGCTCAGTATTTGCCATCTAGGCACACAAGTTGGGAGTCCACTCTGGCTTTCCCTGTGGACACTTCCTGCAGCCACAGCTGGATGGCACAGTGTTGCCTCTCTGCTCCCCGTCGGCCCCGCTACTTAGGCTTGGTAATGGAGCCCCTGTGTGCTGTGGATCCTGCACATGCCAGGCCATAGATCAACCCATTCCCTCCTGTGCCGAGCTCAGATCTCCCTCATTAGGCCTGAATTTACCTCTGTCCTACACAAACATGGCCTTAGCTCATTTTTATTGTTGTAAATTATTTATGAGGGGAATGTTGAATCTTGAAACTGAGGTGTGAGGAAAATTAATCCCATGTTACTTTTATCTTTCTGTACTTTTCTCCCCTTTCCCTGACTTATTGAGCTATTGGCCAGAGAAAAAAAGTGCTTTGGCATTTTAAAATATAATTAGTGTTAGTGTATTTGGGCGGGATGTTGGGCTCAGTGTGCTGTGCAACAGAGCACAGGCTAGACTGAGGATAATGCCTCTGTCTCTGCCAGCCACTGGGTGTCTGGGAACAAGCCTCAGTTTCCCCTTATATAAAGTAAGGCTAGCATGGTGGACCCTCCAACTCTAAGGTGAGTGTCAGCTGACAGGGAACCTGAGTGAGTCCTCTGAATTTGCAGAGTTCTACACAGGGGCGTGTTCACATGGCAGACGGGGCCACTGTGATGGAACTGAGAGTTGCTTCAGGGAGTGTTTTAGCCAGCCGTCTCCTCCTGGCCCTCTGCTGGGCTCTTATTCATGCCCCTCTTCTTCCCAGCAAAGGCCTGGCCCAGGACCCTGGGTGGCAGGGTACTGTTCTGCTCCCATGCCTTTCTTTCTGGCTGGAGGCTCCAAGCAGCCTGTGGAAGCATGGAGTGCAAGTTAATAAATGGCCTTTTGTTAGGAAGGTCAATTGAAGTGACGGTAGAGACGCTGTTAAAAGTAATTTGCAGTCAGAAAATATGTAATTCAGGGCAAGCCACTTTGAGCGATGGCCTCTGCCATGGATATCTTGGGCGTTTCTCATTAAGAGGCTCCTTGGCTGGTGGCGGCCGTAACCCACCGCCAAGTGGGCTGCAGCCCCTGGAACAGCCATTTGTCTCCGAGGCACAAAGGCTGCCTTGATCTCCAGGGCACAGCAACCCTGCAACTAAGGGAGAAGGGGGGCAGTGAGCTTGGGGATGACTGTGCTGGCTGAGCCAGACCTGCAGTGGGCTGGGCAAGCTGGGCTCCTGAGCTCTCAGGCCCAGCTCTTTGTCTGCTTCAGCTGGAGGCTGCCTGCAGCCATCTTGGAAGCTGCTGCTGGGTGCCTCTGTGGGTGCATTGTGGGAGCAATATCTTCCCTTTGCAAGCATACACATCCTCCTGCAATTGACAGCAAGCAAGAGGACCCTTGTCATCATGCCTCATGGAGTGCATTGCCATCAGGGAATATGGCTCTCCCAGCCAATGAGATATTCCTGTGTGTGCTCACTTAATCTCACTCTTTCTCTGTTTGCTTTCTCCCTCTACCCTCCCTCTTCTCCTTTCCTTCATTTCTTATTCTCCTTTCATTCTCCATCCCTCTTTTTCTTTGATAGTAAAGGCAGTAGTATTAAATTGTTTTTTGTTGCTTCACATGTTCTTTATTAAATTCACAGCATGATATTTAACACTGGCAGCATTTGTACAATTTGCTAATGAGTTGTTAATTGCAAAGCATTTTTGGTAACCGACAGCAGGTACCAATATTTTGCAAACTGCAGCCGTGTGGTTTTTATGCTCCCCCAAATACAGGATTTTTCAGGGACAGGCATTTTTATTTAGTGGTTTACTCTAGATTGAGCAGGTGTAGATATTTAACCCTAAGCCCATATTGGGGTCACACATGGAGTCACTTGATAAATATTTACTTAATACCTACTAGGTGCAAGGGCCCTGAGCCACAAGCTGTCGTAGATAAACCTGCCTAGAAAAGGGAAGTCGAGACAAGCAAAGGGTGTGGTGGTGCAGCCTGGTCTCCATCTCCTGCCTGGGCTGCTGGAGGCTTATTTTTGGTAGAAGCATCTAAAATATAACTCTGTAACTTGGCTAGGAGGGCAGGGGTGCCAGACACTGCCGGGCTCTAACCAAGAACAAGTCTGTTTCCGGAGTGCTCTGTAGGTGCCACTGACTTAAGTGGGTGACCTGCAGTGGAGCGTTTTGATGGTTCCTGTGAGGTAGACTACAGACATTTTTGAGTGGCCAGTGCTTTTTGATAAGAGGCTGAGGAGCAAGAATGTGCCTCCTGCTGCCTCTTCAGGCAGGATGTTTGGTTTGCTTTTGAAGTTGTAGCCATCCTTGAGCGTGCCGCAGCCAGTGGGGTTTAATTGCTGCAGAACGAGGTGGAATTTATTTTGTTCTTTCCTACTGTGTGCCCAGTAAAAGTGGTCTGTGTCAGGTGTTGCTGGGTTTATTTGGTTTCGGGTGCACAGCCACTATAGCAGCCAGGCTAACTGCTCTCTGCTTCATCAGCCTCCTCCAAGGATCCTGTGCAGAGGCCGCAAGCAGCAGAATAGTAACTCTACGCATCTTCATCCAAGTGACCAGTGAGAATTAGGATCAGTGTTAGTGCTCAGCTCTGAGTAAGTGCCACTTGACCCGTGGGGTTAAACTAGACAAAGAAATGGGCCAGACCTCTAGTGTGTGCTGCTTCCTGTCTCTAGCTCAAGCCAGAGCCCACCTGCTGCATTCTGAGTACCTGTGGTGTCATGGCCCTCTCTGGGCCTTCTTTTATATCCTCTCTTTTAGTTTTTGAGACAGCTGGGGAATGGATCAAGACCTCATTTTACAGTTGAGAGAAAGCTGAGCCTCCCCAAGCTGTAATTTCTTGTTCAGACACTGACTTGTAAGTGTGGAGTCAGGAGCCACACGTACCTCTCATGCCCATGCCCAAATGCTTCCTCTGTTTTTGGAGCTCATTGAATTCTCTGTCTGACGAATGTCTAGCTGTGGTTTCTCTATACAGGAGCACTGTGTGAGGGACAGGGGTTGCTTCGAGACTTTGCCGGGGGTGGCCCGCCTAGTGTTGGTCCCTGGGAAGAAATCAGGCAGCTGGGAGGAGAGCTAAGCGGCATGTGGGGCTGGGAAGTAGCTCAGTGGGTAGCATGCTTGTGTGCCCCGCATAAAGGGTTCCATCCCAGCAGCACATAAAACTAAGTATATATACCTGTAATGTGAGCACGGGGGAGGGAGGTAGAGGCCGGGGGACAGGAGTTCAAGGCCAGCCTTGAATATGTGGGGATATGTTCTTGTGTTTGAGTGGAAATTAGCTCCTGAGAGCAGTCACAAGCCTCAGCATTCCATGCTAACAACTTGAGGTTGAATTCTTGATCTGAGATCGGGGTCAGATAAGGCCAGGTGAGGAATGCAGAGCTCAGCTGAGGATAGCTGCCCCAGGATTCTCCGTCTATTTAAAACCTTGCTCACTCACATTGAACACTGAGTTTGAATTCTATGCTTTCCATTTCCTTTTCCAAACCAGGACCAAGCCACCATGCCTGAAGTCAAAGAGCTTTCAGAAGCCTTGCCAGAGACGCCAATGGACCCCATCACGGGAGTCGGGGTGGTGGCGTCCCGGAACCGAGCCCCAACTGGCTATGATGTGGTAAGACAATAACCAGCTTGTCTGTTCTGCTCTCTATCTAAGAACCTCAGTCCCTGTGTGAAAAATGTGCATCTTCCCTCTCATAACTTAGAGTGACCTGAAGAGGAAAGTCATGGCCAGAGGAGGTGGGTATAATGTCCTGCTTCGGGAGTCAGAGGACCTGCTGAGGCCATGGGGTGGTTATTTTTCACCTTTTTAATTAGCTCCATTGCTTTCCATAGTCACCTCTAGTGTAGGTGCTCCATGAAAAAGACTTAGGAGAGACCCTGGAGGTTGTCTTGCACTGTCCCAGGAGTGTAAATGTTCTGAGTGTGTGGCAGTGTCCTTGCCCAGAGCCAGCAAGGAACTTGTGCAGCGATCAGCTTTGTGTGTGGGCTGGAGCCCTAGTCAGGGCTTCCCAATGTCAGGGCCAGCAATCAGGGAATTCTTGTCGTAGAGCTATCCTGTGCATCAGAGGCTGTGCGTAGCTTCCTTGACCTCTGTGTAGTCAAAGGGAAGAACACCCCAGATGTTTCCAGATGTTCCCTGTGGAGGGGTGGGTTAGCAAGATCAGCCCCCACTGAGAACCTCTTGGGTTAGACTGCATCAGGTCCTCACTACACACAGAGGAATCCACTAAGAAGAAGATCAAGAAAACAAAACTTCTTCCCTACTGTTGAGATGCTTGTGAAGAGATGGAGAGGGCCTTTTTTTGACAAAGATTTGCGTCCGGCCGGCCTCCTGTCTTCAAAGCCCAGTTGGAATGTCTAACTTTCCATAAAATAGAATCATTAGGTATGGCTTTGTGCCATAAAACTCTTGGGGAAGCTAATAAAAATGCTCCTGATTTGAGAAGCTGAAGTGTGTTGTGATGAATTGGATCTGAGGCAGCACATTGTGCATCAGGCCGGGCTGGGAGCTCCTGCTCTGCCTGTGGACCATCCAGGGCCCCCAAGGCTCAAGCCCCAAGCCTGGGCCTCACAGCTCCCTGCTCTTCTCTGTCCATCAGCATCTGTAGCGTTTCTCCTGCACCTTTGGGGTCATCCAGACTGCTTGGCTAGTGGGCGGCAGATGGCCTTTGATAGTTTGGCTTTCTGAGAGTCCCTGGAAGCCTGACAGGGGCACAATCTATCCCTATCATTTTCTTCTAACATCTAGCTCAGGGCAGGAGAGCGTGGTGTCAAATGAGTGAAATTAATAAGCACATTTCACCATCATGCTGCACCATGCATTTTAGTGGAAGGTGAGCAGGGCAAGAGGCTTGAGCTAGCTCTCCTGTAATTACCCAGCCTGCACATGGCCCTAGGCTGCTCTAAGAGCTTTTTTCTGGGAGAGGGGCAGTAGTCCTCTCTTCATCTGGCCTCTAGCCTCTCCTCAGATAAACATCTCATTCCCAAGAGCTCTGGCCCCAAGTTCAAGGGGAAAGGCAGAGAAGGAGGGGTGAGAAGAGGCATTTCCGCTTTTTCTTCATTTGGAGTTCCACAGTAAGTCAGCAAAGTGCAGGAATGTGTTGGGAAGGCTCCAAAGACTGTCCAGAGGATGAGGAAGCCTGTGGCAGCTGGAGGCTAGACCATGCTCAGTGTACAATCTGTCTAGGATTAACTCCCACCTCCCTCACACAGTGAGATGCTCTGACCAGCTTCCTGCCATTAGTCACCAGATGTGCTGGCTGGCCCTGAGCTGCCTTAGAAAGGCTTCTTAGGCACTGCTGCTGCTTGAAGCTAAAGGTGCCAAAGGTTCATTTGTAAAAATGTAATTCAATGACTTTCCTTCTCTCTGGATTCGGGAAGCATCTTGGACTAGAGGGCTAGAGATCATTTACTAACTGTTTCAATTCATTGTCTCCATTTCTGCAGTCTTCTGAGAATAGCCTTTCTTTTCCTGTCCTTCAGCCACATGCCCAGGGCTTGGGGTGACAGGCTGAGGTACCTGCTCTCAGAGATTGTAGTGGGTTTCAGAAAAGGTGTAGAAAAGGCTCAGCAGCAAGACTGCTGGGCTGGAAGAGTGACGGGAAAGTGGCAGTGAGACACTGAGGATAGACACAGGTGAGGGAGGGTGACATGAAGGTGGCAGCTGTCAGGCTAGCCCAGGCACACATGGGAAGGATTCCAGGGTATGAGAAGGTACAGCAGACAGGGCCTGCCTGGTGAAGTTGGGCTGGGAGGGCAGGGAAGGTGGGCTCCAACCAGTCAGAGGGCCGGGGGGGGGGGGGGAATGCCCATTGTTTGGCTCTTCTTCCTGCCACTGTGAGCTGGGAAGCCAGCCTTGGTGGAGGCCTCTGACTTCCATGCGGCCTCCATGGGCAGCATGTGAGTTAGCCCTCTTCCTCCTTCCTTTCCCCCTTCTTCTCATCTCCCTTCCCTTCAGTAGTGTTGAAACTAATTAGGCAACAGAACATTTTTTTTTTCCCAAAACTGCTGGTCCTGCATAATTTATAGGTACCTAAAGTATCCCCGGTGTCTTCAGAGTCATTGGAGCTGCCAGCATTTGAAGCATCAGATGTGGGGTGCTGTGGGTACGCTGGGACAAATTGGCTCTCCTCTGGGCAGTGGGTTAGGCTTAGGGATCAAAAAACCACACAGGTTTAAAATTGGAAACCTGAAAATGAGGAGCCAGTTGTCATGCACCAGAGCAGAAGAAGAAAAACAAAACACCCTCCCTTCCCTCCCCCCCAAACCATCTGCTCAGTGCTGAAGCAGGGTTGAGAAAGCCTGCGTGTTTCCATAATGCTCAAGGAATTAAAACCCTTGGGAGGAAGGTCACGAGCTCTTGCCTAAAGCATGTGGTAGATATCAGTGGGACATGTGCACCATAGTCATCATACTGTGGTCTGACAGAGCTGTTACTCAGGTCCCTAGAAAGGCCAAGCTGTGGTAGGAGGCCCTTGTTCCTCGTGGCCAGAGGACAAGAGACCTCATTTCCACAGGTGCTATCCTTCTGGTATCTCACCCTGTGGCAGGTGAAGGATGAGGAGCAGCTTGCCCCTGTAGGCCCCTGTCTTCCTGAGCGCAGCTGGCAAGGGGACTGTTCCTGAGCAAAGAGATGGAGGCTTGGAGGTCCCCATACCCCACAACCTCGTCCTACAGGCTGGTTTCTTTTCAGAACTGAGCTTGTTTTGATAAAGGCACCAGGTGTTCCTCTATTTTTGTTTTGATAGAAAATACGTTAAACCAAGATTTACTGAAAACACAGAAAGTGGTTTTATGGCCAGCCCTTGGGCCCTGGTTTCCTGTGGCTTGAGTTTGGAAAACTTCTGTGAACTGTCCAGGACAGATCTGTCTGGAATAGGACCCTTGACGCTTGCTGAAGTGAGTGCAGTGACCGGCATTGTGCAGGAGGCCAGCAAGCCTGCCTCAGGAAGTTCTGGCAGAAACAGTGGCTTCCTGTGCCTGCTGGGTAGAAGAGGTCTTCCCTTTCTGCATCCCCTGCCCCCAGCCATGCACTTAGTGACCAAAGCTCCCTCAGATAATGGATGGATGGGACAGTGTCTTGATATTTTCTTCTGCTCACAGAAATCTCTGGCTCACTTTTGCAAAGACTTGTAAAAAATAAAACCTCAATTATTTGGATCAACAGAGAAGTTAACTTTCCTTTTTTTAAATGTAGAATTTAAGGTCTGGGGTAATTATGACTTTAAGTGCACTTTAAGGACTAATGCGAGCACTCGTTCTCCTTGTTTTGAGAGATGCAGTGTGCGCTTTCACCCCTGTTGTAGTGTCTGAAAACACCAACATGTGGAAGATTGGGAATTGAATCCGGAGTCCTCTAGAAGAGCAGTCCCCACATCTATCAGCCACGTCTGTCAAGCTCCCGGGGGGGGGGGGGGGGGGGGGTTGTTCTTGTTTTTTTTTACTATTGACTTTCCAGGGTTCTTGGTGAGTCTGGTCAGAACCGTGTGTGTGTGTGTGTGTGTGTGTGTGTGTGTGTGTGTGTGTGTGTGTATCTATAGATGTTTGCTTCAGTAGACATATGCCTTTTCCCCTTAACACAATCTTTCATGTAGTAAAAACTTTACTGTCTGATCAAGTCCAGTTTCTCTATTTTTTCATTTATGAATTGTTTAGGTATCAGGTGTAAGAACCTTTTGCCTCCGATCCCAAAAACTTTCTAGTTTTCTACATATTTAATATTTCATGTAATATAAGATATGAACTTGGGTTGAGTTCTCCCCCTGCCCACGGCTTCCTCTTCGGAAGACCAAATACTCGCAGTATTTGTGGAAAAGATGGTCTTTTCTTTTGAACCTGTGACTAAAAGTGATGAACATGGATCTTTCCATCTGTGTCTCTGTGTGTCTATTTGTAGTTGTGTTTTCAAGGTTGTTAGAGTTGTCTGTCCTATGACTTTTAGAATAATTTTTCTATATCAACCAAAAATTCCCTTGGGATTTGAAGGGCACTGATGTTAAATCTGTGTAACATTTGAAGATCTTTATCTCCCTCCCGCTCTCTCTTTTTTTTTTTTTTCATGACAAGGTTTCTCTGTGTAACAAAGCCCTGGCTGTCCTGGACTCTCTTTGTAGACCAGGCTGGCCTTGAACTCATAGAGATCCACCTGCCTGTTCTTCCTAAGTGCTAGGATTACAGGCGTGTGCCACCACACTCTGCAAACATCTTTATCTTTTACATTGAGCTTTTTAGTTCCTCAGCTATAGTGCAGTATTTGGTTCTTTGATTACCTTCGCAACATTTTATACTTTTAAAACATTCAAGTATATCCGTGTTTTGGTAGATCTAAATGTGATTACTTTTTTAAATTGCATTTTTATCTGTTGTGCATATGGGAGTAACCCAGAGTGCATGCGGGGAAGTCAGAGTCAACCTGCCGGAGTCTGTCCTCTCCTTCTACCCTGTGGTCCCTGAGGGATGAACTGAGGTCACTGGGCTTGGCAACAAGTGACTTTACCATCTTACCAGGCCCAGAGTACTCCGGTGTTTAGTTTGAATGATTATAGATTGAGTTGAGCTTCTAATTTTGATGTGTTAACTGCTATTATAGGAATAGAATTACTATTTGTAGGT